TGCTGTTGTACTTGTAGTTGTCGTTGATGTTGTGGTAGTTGTTGATGTAGTTGTTGATGTTGTCGTAGTTGTTGTTGATGTTGATGATGTAGTTGTTTCAGTAGTTGTTGTGGTCGTTGTAGTTGTTATACTTGTTGTTGTAGTTGTGGTTGATGTTTGAATAGTTGTTTCTGTTGTCCTTATCATTGTTGTTGAGGTTACCAATTCTGTATTAAATAATAAAATTGAATAAGATTTTCTTCGTAATTCATTATTTATCTATCTATTAACAATACAGAGTGGGCCAAAAGTTACTTTACTGAGGAAAAAATTGAATATCTCCATTATCTTTTAGCAGTGTTAGGGATATATTTAAGATTTCTATCCATAAAGATATGACTGGAGAGACGTTTTGTTAAGTAAATGATTCCTTTTCTCTATCTGTCAATAAGTAAAAGTTTGTGTTGAGAATACTGGTGGCATTTAACAAAGGGTCTCTCGAGTCTTCTCCTTATGAATATAAACTTTGAATATACCTCTACCGTTGCAAAAAATCAACTTGCTTACTTAAACCGTAATGAAAATCTTTAATTTTTTTCTCGGTAAAGTGACTTTTGTGTTACCCTGTATATCTCCCTTTAAATATTCTCACATGGCTTTTCCTGTCTTTCTTCTTTGACAATAGTTATTTATAATTATGTTCCTATTACAACAACTGAAACAAATCAGTTGGCATAGCGTCAATTTAGTGCTAAAGTCTTTTAAAATCTTATAAATTGACTCAAATGATATTATTATATGAAATTTTTCGAGATAGTGATAGCTTTCACATATAATAAAACTTATGAAAAACTTTTTATTAATGGTCAAAATATATTTTTCTACAAAATATCTAAATTAATATCAGTGCACATTCTCATTTACATTCTTACATCCTAATCCTTAAGAACAGAGATCACAGAAAATATCTCAAATTTAAATATTACTGACCAAGTGTACACGTTGCACCACTCCAACCGGTCGTGCATGTACAATTATCAGGAGCTGAGCATGTACCACCATTTTGGCAATTATTTGTGCATGTAGCTAAAAAATAATAGAAAGTATTAAAATGAATCAAACTCCGAATTTATATTACCATTTGTACATGTGTCACCACTCCATTCCGTAGTACATGCACAAGTTGTGGGACCTGTGCATCCACCACCATTTTGACAAACAACTGAGCACGGTTCTAAAAAGAATAAACATACATTTGTTCAAAAATCTAGACAAGTGATAAGAGAAACAGCCTACTCACCGACAACTATACCATCGGAACTACTTTCATTGTTACTGTTGCCATTGGGATTAGATTGGATGTGACATAGTTGTACAGGTATAGTGCTGCCATCGTCCGCCGTGATACTAACATTGGTTGCACTATTGAATTGTTGATGGATTCCGGTAAACAGTTCGACTTGACAGGATAAATTTTGACAGGGTAAATGTCCTGGATACTCCAGTGCGACGTCAAAAACGATAGCGACTCCAGGACGATCCGTTTTATCGCATTGAATACTATATGAGAAGTCAAAGGTAAGTATGGTTAGTAGAAATATATTAAAAAGAAAATTACTCGCGGCGACGACGTCGACCTTTGCCGAGTGCCCCTACTGCACTGCTGATGGCCTTAACGATGATGGAACCTACGGGAGAACCGGTTGCTTGTTGTAACTAAAATATAATACATATTATGAATTATCATAAAAGATAAAAAATACATTATCAGCAGTTGTCTGACGGTTGGTAATCGATTGTGCTGTGCGCTTTCTCGCAAATCCAGATGGCAACATGTAAGACGCAGTTAACGAAGTAAGCGAGTTTTCTAGTAAAGAATACCTATGTAAATCAAATAAAATCAATAAAAAAAACTAACTAGCAGCTGTTAATGCTTGCGTGGCCGTGTTGTTGTCAATGTTGTTCATGTTCTTGATGTTGAAATCATTTGTTGATACATAGAGCGGAATCAACGAAAGAACAATTGTGCACGCAACAGCAAATAGTGCCAGTGCAAAACGACCACCCATAGAGAATCTAAATAATTAGTAATATATGACAAAGCTCATCAGATACACTTAAAACTCACGTTCGAGAACGTCTTGAGTGTAGATGAGCCATAGCTTTGAATCAGTTGAATGAGTATTGTCCTGAAATCAAGATAAATTTGATGATTTATATAAATCCCATTAACTATACATATAATTATGGTACTTCTAAGTAGAGTAATAATTCTCAATATGAATGATTTCATTTGAATGATATATACTAAATATAAAAAGTATAGAAGTATTTACCGTGAAATAATATGCACACACGATCAAATTCGAAGCAGAATAATCGAGTATACGAGTTTTAAATTTAAATGAAAGCCAATAACTAAACGAATATGTAATGAGCATATCCTTTTATATTCTCCTTGGTATATGCTTCATTGATGCATAAACAATTGTTTTCATTTTTTCTGCTTGTATTTTATCTCATTAAAAATAACAAGCAAGCAATTAAGCAGATGTGACAACAAATATCTTTGTTTTTATTCATGTATGTAATGCTAATTGCTTATAATTATTTTAGATGGGAAAAATAAATGTGAGTAATTGACAATTTATCTTATAGGAATAAAATATAATTGATCATTTGTCCGATCTGACTAAAATATAATTGATCCTTTGCGTGACCTGAATAAAATATAATTGGTCATTTATCTTACAGAAGAAATAAAGTATAATTGATCAATTATCTTACAAGAGAAATAAAATATAATTGATTATTTATCTTACAGAGATAAAATATACGTAGCAGCCATATTCGAAAGTTTGTTGTTGGACCATGTTTTTTTTCTCATTTATGTATAATTACAGTGTATTATAATTATGAGAGTTCTTATAAATATTTATTCGTTAACAGACGAAAATGAATATCTTGGAAGTTTTTCGCTATTAGTAGAAAGGAAGAGTTGTTTCATATGACATTTTTAAGACTTAGATTGTCGAGATTCAGAAATTATTATGTATAAAACACAGACTGACCGGTGAAGTTTTTGTCTTGATTTAGGACTGTATGAGGTGGGCCCTTTGTTGAACTTTAGAAGAGAGTATATCGGCCGAAAATTACTCGTTTTTAGAAGAGTATGGACATGATTTTATGGTCAGTTTAAGATACCACTCGATAAATAAATGAAGCCTGAATAAAACTAAATAGGTGGTTTCGAATTAAAATTAAACGTTGATTATACAAGATTTATTAGAGTTTTACATTGCCCAATAAAACGTTTTCCTGATTAAAATTCATCAAAATTGCAAAATCCTCTAGACACTAATCCAAGCTTGTCGGTGGACGTGAGAAAATTTGAAAAATATCTGAGTAGACTACTGCTTTGGTGAAATCGTCGGAACCGATCGTTTCTTTTACGTATTTTTTCACTTGGGCATGTAACTAAAGTAGGGCTACAGCTGATTAAAATCACAAATTGTCAGTGAATCATAACTAACTGGAAATCTGTAATTTTGAACATATATAATTCTGAGTTTATTTCATAATAATCAGATCGATAATTTTGATTATGACTGATTATAAGTTAACTGTAATTGGTGTGGAAGTCCTGTTTAATTAGATTTAACTTTTAATTTCATTACACATTATTCTGAATATAGTCTAGATTAAAAGTGTACGAAAGTGGACTATACATTAGTTATTATGAATTAGAAAATTTGCTCATTTGGAATCGAACATGCTGAAGTATCTGTTCATATTTTAATTAGAACACAGTGGATGTTATAGGCCCTAACGAGCTATGACTACCTTAGAAAAAACATGCATTCTGCCGTACTGTACTACTATACACTAAAGATAAAAAATGCATCGAGTCGAAATCAGATCGCTTGTTAAAAAGTGCAATCTAACTGAACCAATTCTCAATCGATATTTTTAACATGAATCTGATCCAAGAACATATGGTTCAACTATGTCTATCTTTTGTGCTGTTCTATCCGCCTTCAAGAGAGTAGACTTATGGTACAGGATAGCAGGAATCAGACTTGAGGGTGAGAATGTGGATGGATAAGAATAATATCCACACCTACACTCTCAAGGAACTACAGAAGCAGTTTGTATGTTACAATATGTACATACTTTCTGTTTTAAGCATAGCAAAATACGACAAAGTATATAAAAGTGGAGCTCGACGGCTCTTATTTTTCGTGGGCCTATGTCATATGGATACAAACTTTCACTTCTGACGGATATATATTAAATCAACCATATACATTCATTATACGATGAAACTCATTTTAAACGACTCTGAAAGCTTCATAAACTAGTATGTAATAAAATATCCGAGTTCTTCTACTAAAAGAGTATAGTCTCATCAACAAAAACTTCATCTTAAATAAAAGTATTTCATCGAAAATGATTCAACACATTCATAAAACTATAAATTGATTATCTTTATTCATATGTTCCGAAAGATAATCGATCAATTACTCGAGTATTGTCGCCACCAAACACAGTACTTTTTCACTTGCAATGAAGATTTAGAGGTAAGTTTTGATTTACTCTACTACTACTACTAGTGGATTTATTATTAAGTATCAATGCACGACTGAAGAATCTTTCTCTGTTGAACTTTTTGTACTACACATTAGAATTATTAGTATTCAATCATTTATCGTTGATGATCAATTTAAATATTTTTATATTCCAATTACAGTATATGATCAATACTCTTAAGTGGACGTTGTATCAAAATAAGTAGGGAAATAAAAATTTGAAAAAGTCACTAGAAATAGTATTACATCACAGATAATTTATAGATCAGTGTATATTGTCAACAAGTATCAGAATCATTATTTTAATATGTAGCATACTCTTCAAAAGATAATTCGCTGTTATTAAAATCTAAAAGAACTTAAATAAATCTTAACACGTTGAAAAAAGATTGCATCTATTTTGTAGTTACGTATGATATATTCTAATATTGAGAGAAACTAAAGACGTCATCAAGTTTCTTCAGTAATTTTGCTAATGTAATTATAGAGATGCCGTTCTCCATTCACAGAATGTTTGCATATGTTACCATCATTTTTTTCTCAATAGACATGTACTTTTGTGAATTAATGTACTTTTTCTTATTGTAATTACATCAAACTTTGACCTTTTCACAAACTTTCTGTTTCTATCGTTTCTTCCTAAAAACAATCAAAAAAATGTTTCAACTAACTTCTTCTGCTATATACATAATATATTACAACAGCATATAAACGAAGGAATAAAAAAGAAAAGAAAAGAGAAGCAAAGCAAGTTTTTAGTGGGTAAAGGTTTTTTTTCTCAAGAAAAAATAATTTAGAATGTGTTGCTGTGATAAACAAGATGTTTTGTCTTTCATTAATACTATCATACATAGACACGGATCCTAACTGTTTGAATGATTGTTAAATTGATGAAGAAAAAGATAATTATCTATTAAATTACAGATCATAATATTCTTTCATCAATCAAAAATTGAAGAATAGCAATGACACTACAGAGTATCAAAAGAGCAGGATTGTGGAAATATTGTCATACTCTATGTTAGAGTCAATTGAAAAAGCTGAATCCAGTGCGTTTGAGTTTGAATGAATATCTAACTTATGTATGAACACAATGAACTAAATTTCAATTCAATGATTTTGATTTTATAAGAAAAATTTCATTTGCGACTAAATCTTGATTGTTCTATATGTTTTTTCATATTTATTTGTTTTACATATAACATATATGTTCTAAGTCTGAGTATACTTGTCTCTAAGTAACGTATAAACAAAGAAAAGTCATCTTTACGAATGGATATGTGTTTTTACAAAATAAAATAAAAGTTATGACTAGCTTTCCATTCCATTGATGAAATGTAATAGAAAACGCATACGCTACAATGACAAGAGAAAAAGAAAAAAAATAGTGTTTATCGTTCAACAGATTCCTTTTCTTTTATTCTCAGTTAAATTCATTTCATCAACTTGCAATTTAGCTGGTAATGGCGTCAAGAAGAATTTGTTTATGGCTGATATTTATGATTATTACACAACTGGTTGGAGAGGATATGCGATCAATTCGTATGTCTTCAATGCGTGGTTCCAAATTTCAATGCGGTAATACAACATGTTTACCGTTCGTTAATCTCATTACGACAACTATTATGAAGTGTCAAATGGCTTGTTTAGCTCAAATTTATTGTAGAGCAGCCAGTTTTCATCAATCAACTTCAAATTGTGAATTATTTACTGATATATCAAATGAAATACCACATATAGTAACTGATACCGACATTACTACTATGATTGTTATTGCTGGGACACGATCTCCACCTGGTCAGTATGAATATAGTAGATCTCAAAAGAAATCATATGAAATATTTGAGAGAAAAAAAATATTTTCTTCTTTTAGTAAGCTTTATTCATAATTAGCTTATTGATTAGGAATATGTGTAGAGATGGACCATGATATGGTTCATTTTTTTATCGCTTTTATAGCATCAGAAATATCGAATATACACAGTAAAATAGAAAATTAATAAATCCACTCATACCAGTTGATATAGAAGTAATACATTAAGGAGAGGTCCATTCACAATTAAGAAAAGGAAGAAAGCAAAACTTTTTTTTGCTCATATTCATTACTTATAATAAATAATGAATGTTGATGAAACGTTTTCTTTTCGTAACTTTACAATGAAACCTCCGTCATTTTCCGAATTAATAAGAAATCATGAATAGATCAGAAAAATATTTTATTCCATAGCAAGTGATAGCATCGACGATTCCTTTTGTGCTCTGTTTCTAGTTCAAGTTAGATTACGCAAGTACTTTGTGTAGTGTAGCAACTATAATAATTAATGTAAGAACCTAATGGATGAAAATAATGAGTTTAGTATAAATCATCTTCGGCGGTAGTAGATATTGCAAATAACAGTTTATCCTGCTTTTCAGTTTTGATTAAATTCTAATCAATAAGACATCTATGTGGTATTTGAAAGGTGTGGATGTATGGCCAGTTGTTGATCACTGCTTCTACATCCATATCCACATCCTAAATATATTGTTAGAAAACTAGGGACTAATGTTAGATTATAAGCAAAACTTTATCAAGTTCTTTAGCCTCATACTAATGCCATTTTCGTAAACTAGAACCAACTACGACAACATCAACAACAACAACATCAACAACAACTACAAGTACAACAACAACAACAACAACAACTACAAGTAAAACAACAACAACAACAACAACTACAACAAGTACAACAACAACTTCAACAACAACTAGTTAGTATTATGCTAGAGGATTTTGTCGCATCCTGACAGATCTTTAGTTCGAATCTTGAGTGTATCGTTGTGCGTTAGATATGGATAAAGGGAATACACATATTCCGACCCATATCGTCACACACTAAATACTTCGTATAAGATCCTCAGTACGGCAGTGCAGCAGAGATTTCATATAGTGCTGTTAATATAAAGTACTATAAAAAAGGATTCTTCTTGCACGGTTACCGAAAACGTTTTTGTTGCCCTCTTACGCGATAATCGCAATCCCCAAACCTCAGTGTTAGCTTCTTCATGGTTCAACCATTTCCTTATATTTTTTTAGCCCCATGTGTTCGAACAGGCACATATTCTCAATCGTTTTCATCCGGTGATGCTTCAACAGCTCAATGCACAGCATGGTCATCGTTTGTAGTTATTTTGAATTGTTCAAGTTACTCAAGCATACGTATATTTGGTTCAATCGATGGAACAGGCTTAAGTGTAAGTAACTCGGTTGTTGCCACTGTCATCGTAGTAGCTTTGCGTACTAATGCTACATATACGGGCGTTTCAGATGGCTACACATGGGCAGTTGGTTCTACTGCTTGTGGTCTTGAAATAAGTTCGACTGGAAATTTGTGTCTATGCAGTGCGGGTTATACTCTTAGACCATGCCATGGTGCCAGCTTTGGTGGTATCAATGGTCCAACGTGCGGTGCAGCATCGCAAACAATATCACTTAGTTTTCAGTGAAAAAAAGAGGAAAACAGTTATTTGGATGCAAAACATTTATTTCTTTATAGTTTTCTTTTGCTTTCAATTTCTTTAGAATTTTATTTCTGGTTCAATAAAAAATAAAAAATATGGCAGTAATCACATTGTTGATATATTCAACAAGTATGTTGTTTCAGGTATAGTGCTACTGTTCAAATAAATATCTCCCTTAATCAAGATCAATTGACAGTAAAACGAGAACGAATAGCATATCATTGCTCTCTCATCTATCCATACCCTCACTCTAATTTGAAGCATTAATCATGATCACAGTAACTATCATTAGAAAAATTTCTTTTTGTTCATATAAACTTGCATTTTTTTGAGAAGATGATATTATTCTAAGTGTTTTTATATGTAATCATGAAGAGAAAGAATTTATGTTTGGTGCAAAAACGAGTTGTAGTAGAAATGTGTATGGGTGTGGATGTGGATGTTTCTTCTTTACCATCCTCACTCATACCCACACCCCTCAAGATTTTTCGTATCGAACACAGAGAAACTCAACCTTACTCAGACACAGTAACTATATATCGTAAAGGTCATTTTCTACAAAATATGTCTCTTGATATGTATTGTTTATCTTACCGATAGGTATTACTACCCATTTGTGTCTCAACAAGATCAGAGTTTCTCTGTACGCGCGCGTATTTAAAACAAATCTTTTGTCGTTTGAAAAACTTATTTTTTCTCTTTCGTAAAATAAAACACATAGCAATACAATTTATTATTTGTTTTTAACAAATACGAGGTTATCTCTATATGTTTAAGCATCAGGATGATTTGAAGGTAATGTTTGTTGTGCAATTTGTATAGCATGTTCATAAGATGTACGGGCTTCTCGATAATTACCCATCTTGGTATGCACATTACCAATGTTACTGTAGGATTTAGCCAAATCAGGAAGATTGGAAGGTAGTGATTGTTGTTGAATTTCAAGAGCTTTTTCATAAGATGAAAGTGCTTTTGGATAGTCGCCTATGTCTTTATACACCAAACCAATGTTACTGTAGGAAGAAGCCAAATCAGGATGATTGGGAGGAAGTGATTGTTGTAGAATTCCAAGAGCTTTTTCAAGAGATGAAAGTGAGTGTTGTTGTTTTTCTTTGCTCATTTTTTGCTTTGTGATTGGTTTGAATTGAAGTTACTGTGGAAAACTCAATAGTGAAGTAATGATCAAAAACGATTCTTTTTATAGGTGTCTACCTCCTTTCAAAACGTTTTATCTTTAACTGTTTATCTTATTGCTATGAAAGATAACAAATGAAGAACGAAAAAAAGCAAAACGGTAAGATATTGTTATATCTCTGGCAAAGATCGAGATACTCCACTCACAATAGATGTTTTATTTCCTTTGACGGAGAGAAAACGTGTAGAGCTATGCTTGTTATTGGAGAGTCGCAAGTAAAAAAAAGTATTTATATTGGTAAAATATTGATTGAACTACACAAAGTGACAATATAATTCATCATCGCGAATTAGTAGACATGAAATTAAAAAAATATTTAAACTAGCTTTTATCATTTTGCTTGTTGTAATCTGTTCACTGAAAGCCTGTATGTAACCATTATGTACATAACAAAGATAAATTTGAAAAAAGTGTATTGGTCATCAACAAACGTTGAAAAGAAATAAATGAAATCGACAGAAAAAGCCGTCATCATGTCTCTATCTTCTTTAGTTTTTGGCAGGCCCTCTTGCGAATGTAGATGTGGATGAGTGTCGGTTGTTTCAAAAGATCACACCCACACCCACACCCTCAACTAGCTATATGTGTATATGGTAAGATAATCACATTATTTATTTCTAAAACAAATTTATTTAATATTATAAATAACAAGAATGATACGATTATCTAGTTATAATCATACAAATCTATATACACAAGAGAAAAAAGCTATTAGAATTAATATTAAATTATAAACAAAGTTATAATTCAGTACGTGGTTCATTGAGATAAATCTTATTATTACTTGTTAAATAAGCTAAATTATCATTTCCAGATGATATATTTTTTCCTGCAAATAATAAAGCTGGATTAGCATCACTTAAATGTGAACGTGGTCGATGATAATATCTAACATATTCTTCATATGTTTGTCGAATATATTTTCCGGTTGGATCAATAAATTCTTTTTTTACTGTTTTTCCTGTTGGACGAATTTCTCTTATCATTTGGTGGTTTGCTGTTAAATCATTCCATTCATTTCGTACACATATTGAACAATCATGTAAACATGACCAACGATTTGGACAACATGGAAAACAACCACAACACCAAAATGATGAACATGCTTGACTAGATGAATCTCGTATTGAACGCATTAAAAAATATGAAAGCCAAGGATTTATAGCACGATTTATTAAACGAAGAATAATAAGTGGAATATCAATTGCATATAGAATATTAATTGAATATAAATGAAATTCTATTGATGGATGATAAATACGAATTAAACGATATATATAATACGGTAATTGACAAAATATAAAGATAATCACATATAAAATAACCTAAAAAAAAATTTATAATTATTTATTTTCTTAGAAGAAATAACGTACCATTTTAATTAAATTTGGATGTTCATCATTATATGTTTGTAAATCTAATTGTTTATATGTATTTACATCAGTTTCATCAAAATTTTTATTTCCATCAATTTTATATGTATTTGTTTTTGCTTTACGATGAATAAAAAATCTTAAGATTAAGAAAAAAATCATTAAAAATACTGGTAAACCATTTCCAAATATAAAATCAAGTAAATATATTGTTCGATAAGGTGCTTGAATATGTTGTAAATCTAACCAAGTCAATTGATTTATTTGTGTATCATTATAAATACATTCATATGAACCATAATTTAATGGTTTTAATTGTTGATTAAAAAATATTATTGGAATTAATGCATAACAAATAGCAAGCCATACTGATATTAATATACAAATACCAGTTACGAAACGACGTTGACCATAACAACATTTTTTTCTTTTTACACAACGATCAATACATAAAAAAACAATTGTATAAGCAAGAAGAAAATCCATTATACGTAATATATACATTTCAGATTTACACCATGAATCATTTAACCATTGACCATTATTTAATGCAAAATGTTCACCTAAATCAGCATAGGATACCATTTTAACAATATAAAATATTAATGTCCAAATTGTTCCTTCAGTAATTAAATTCCAAATTAATACATGAATACTTTTTCGACCATAACGATCAGTACTAACACATAATGAATAAAAGTTTAATATATTACCAATTAATGCAATCAAAGTAATGAATGTATAAACAATAGGTAAAATAATACGAATTGGATAAGCTATTTGAGGAAATGTTTCATTACTTGCCATTTATTTATTTTTCTTCGATATATTGTTAAAATAATTTGCAGGTATATGTTCTATCACTATTTGCTCACTTTATTTCATTTATTTGAACAAGAAAATAGTGACCGACATCGTGTACATTGTCTTATTGGTGCATAACCACAACAAGCACGATCAAGAACAATTTCTGTCTCTCGTTCTCTATTATTTACTTGCAGCTTGTCGCCTGCCTAACGGACTCACATATACATACAAACCTGTTTTTACTTTATTCTTCGTTCGTCTCTTCTCTTTTTTTCTCTTCTCTTCTCACTATTATTATATTATTAGTATACTCTCCTTCTTTTTCTTTCTTACCTATCGTTTGTATAAATGTCTTGAATAAAAGTAAGGAATTTTTCTTTCTATCGTTCTGATTTTATTTCAAATAAAGATATCATAACAGTCCAATGTAAGATTTAATGTAAAACAGAACACACAATCTTGTGTTGAATTACTCTCGTTTTATATGTTTGTACACTTGAATGAAACTGTTCATGTGCGATATTTAATCGTATATATATATATATAGTTAAAAGTTTGATTATAACAGAAAGAAAATATCTTTCATATTGATTATGTCCTATAATCTAATATTATAAGAGTGTTTGTATTATTAAAAACTATAAATGAAATCATTACAATTTTATTTCTACTCAAGGAATATTTGAAATGTGACAAATACGTTATATATCCGATGTAATTTGATCAGTCACCGTATAATATAATCTCTTATCAAACATATTGTATTACTCATTTATATGTTTGATATACAGTTATATTTGATTTACTTCTGTTCAAAGTTTTCAATGTCGAATGTATTTATCAAATGAAAAAAAAATTTTTTTGGAATAATTATATGAATAATGAAACTGACATGGTAATTCTCTATGTTTAGAAGTTTATTGTGTAAATATTTTTTGTTTATATAGAAACCTAATCGAAGAAAATTTTTTAAATAAATAAATCTGTTTAAGACATCTTATAACTGAGTATAAAATATAAATAATTCATGAATAATAATACAAGATTTCAGAATAAAATATTGTTAACAACTTAAGCGATCGTATCAATAAAATGATGAACTCCTTCAGATTCAATTAAAATTTGTTCAAGTAGTAGACCCATTGAAAGATGTGTATAAATTACTACACCTATTTTAATCCTATCCTAATAAAATCATTTCAACTATCGTAAAGGTTATTATTGCATTTAAAAGCAATGTATTTCTTTACTCTAGAAAATGAGTCGTATTGTATTGTTTTTTCATTGTTTACATTCGATGATAAATTCGTTATTTTACACAAGAGTCAAATTTATTCTCCATTTAATTTTTCTCATTCTCTAGAATACAAGAGAAAAAAAAATTAAAAATATAGTTGATGAACAGGATTTTATATAAAATCGATTTTTTCATATAATTTCTAATTTAGCTTACAGATACGACTTGAGGGTCTCATCCATTTTCGTTTACTTTAAAAACTCTACTTGAATTAATGATATAGTCTAGAAATTTTGAGAGTACTGTTGTGATATAAGTGTATACCAGAGTGTAAATAAGAGTCACTCATACTCACTTTCAAGATTAAAATGAGTAGCCTAATGTTGTTATTTGTACGCTGCTCTACAAATGAATCAATTTCTATCGGTATGTTTTTATCATCAGTATTTTCACATGTGTCAATGTCATGTCTGATCTTTTTTTGGAACAAAAAACGGAAATATTATCGAATGAGCAAAATATATACGAGACACGTACTGTAACAGATGTCTCTGATCTAGATTAGACATCATCAGAAAATGAGTTCATTTTAATAGAAATGCTATTATATAGGCACATATATTGAATACATAATTTCAGATTTATTTCATTCCTCATATCTCAACATTGTACACTAACGACATCATCACAAGCTATTTGACAGAATAAAATAAAGAAAAGTTTTCTCCAATCAGCACACGATTTCTTTGTTCTTGAAAAAAAGGTTCAAAGGATAACGATATACTTCTTTGTCAAACTTTTTCTTTTCCAATTCAATTTCGTTTGTACAGTAATATTACAATTCCATCAATAATTTCATATAAATATTTAATTATAGATGTCTTTTCATCGAATATCAATATAACGATCTTATTTTTAAAAATCATTTAATTTACAAGTAAATCATGAATAGTCAAAATAATCTTTCAACATCAATTGGTATTTCGAACATAATCAGTGATAAGTCATCAAGTATTACAACAGATGATTGTTCATATTATGGTCGATTGAATACAACAGGTTTTGGTTTTATTCGATCTTATGAAGGAATTCCAGAAAATATTATTGTGAATCTTATCGTTACAGCGGTATGAGAAACTATCTTCAAACGAACAAATTTCGAAAGTATTTTTATATTTAGATTCTTTTATTACTTTTTGTTTATTTACGACGTCGTTTTTCTGATGCGAAAAACATTAATGATGGAACTGAGTAAAAATATTTATTTTCTATATTTCTCAAAAAAAAACAAATTTAATTTTTTTTCTCTCTCAGAATATCAACTTTACTCTATGGACGAAGTAATTCATCTCGAAATTTGCCTCGTAATGTAAGTTATCTATTATATTGTATATTGTGTTATATAAGTTGCTTTTCGTATGCATCATATACACATAAAAAATGAATAGATGCTTATAAGTTTGCATATATGTTTATTTTATTTTTTTCATTTTCAAATAGGACAAAGAATCATGTTTTCATCGATATTCTGTGGTAAAAAACTAATATAGAAAATAGACTTGCTTATTTCTTTTTTCATATTAAAATCTATTTTCTATTTTAAATTGCTAACATGTTTTCTTTTTCTTATATTATGTAGACATATTGGTTATGGGTTCGAGATTTATTTCGAATAACGTATATATTAAAATTTATACTTCATTCTTTCAATAAAAATATTTATTTTTAAATTTAGTGATTGGGATATTTATCAAAATTGTTCACCAGATGCCTATTATTATCTTTTATTTCATACATATTTAATTGTCTATTTACTATTCGTGACAATATTTTCATTGGCAATTATATTACCAGTTAATTTTCAAGGAACACAAGGTTTGCTTATAGAAATTAATATTTTATATTTGAGCGTAAAAATGATTCTGAATAATGAGTTTAGCTTTTATAGAGACTAATTTTTAATAAACAAAAATCTGTAAACATGACCTATTTTTATGTTTAGCGACACCTGAACAAAAATTTGCTCATACAACTATTGCAAATTTATCACCAGAGTACGTTTTGATTTTATTCTATCAATAAAAAGTTTATTTTTAATTAAAGTTCATCATTACTTTGGGTTCATGCATGTGCATCAATAATATTTGTCATAGCTGGAATTATTGTAGCTTATTTATATACAAATGCTACACGATACTATGCTAAAGAAGATATGGTATGTAATATAAAAGAGAATAACCATTTTTTTCTATTATTTATAAACTCTTAGTATGAAGATGAAGAATCGAAAGAAAAAGTAGAGTTTGATGTTGTATTTATTTTGTGTTGTTTTGTACCCAAATCTGTGAATGAAAATATTATCCTAAATAGAATATTTTGTATTTAATATCTTGATCGAAAATTATTCTTTATTTTAAGGCTTCACGAACAGTAATGATACGTGGAATACCTCCAAATGTATGTGATGAAGAGAAATTAAATAATTATTTTCGGTAAATAAAGAATAATTCGAATATTGAATTTGTAATTATTAAAACTTCTAGAGAAGCATATCCATCAATAGAAATAACACATCTAACATTAGCTTATAATATTGTTCAATTACAACATGTTTATAAACGCCGGTTTGTTATTGATTTGATTCAGTTTGATAAGATTTTCTTTTATATTAGCGAGCTTAATCTACGAGTTTGGCAACAAAGTAAAAAAATGCTTGAAGAAACAGGTCAACGTCCTGTTGTTTACAATAATAAATGTGGACAAATGTGTGGTGTAAGTCTATATAATTTATACGAAAATTTCGAATTAATTATTTTTATATTTATAGTGTTGTGCAAAAGAGGTTGGTTTCTATATTTATCGATACAGATATATTTATATACTATTTATAAATAATAGATTGATGCGATTGATTATTATGAAAAATTATATAATACATATAAACAACGTGTAGAAGATGAATTTACACATGTAAGAGATAAAAAATGTGGAATAGCTTTTTTAACATTTTCAACACCTGAGCAAGCTCATAAGTGAGTTTTAGAATTGAATATAATGAATAATTTTGTATTCTTCTTTTTTTTTTGTAGAGTTCGAGCAGATTTCCGTGCGACATGTTTTTCACGAGATCGTCGAATAGAAACATCAACAAGTAGAACACTTGGAATTCATGAATGGACTGTGAAATTTGCACCAAGTCCAAAAAATATTATTTGGTAATTATTGTTTTAGAAAATATATTTATTTATTTATTTTTTCTATAGGAAAAATATTCCAATGAGTGAAGCTAGTCATTGGTTTCGTATTATCGTAGTTAACATTGTATGTATAATAAAAAAAGAAAATCAATTTGTAAACAAATTCTTTGTTTTTTGATTGAAAGATTCTGGTATTTTTTATGATTTTCTTAACAACTCCATCGATTGTAATGAGTACAATTGATAAAATTGCTAATAAATATCGTTCAATTGATCCATTAAAAAAAGTGACAAAACAAATCCATTTTCCAGTTGTATTAACATCTGTTATGCCAGTTTTATTATTACGTATATTTGCTGCTGCAATGCCATCACTTGTTAGTATAACATCATTACTTGAAAAACAATGGAAAAAATCTGCATTAGATAAATCAATGATGATTAAATTATTTGTTTTTCTTTCAATGATGATATTAATCTTACCATCATTAGGTTTAACAAGTATTGAAGGATTTCTTCGTTGGGTTTTTGAAAGTAACGATGGAGACTCACGTAAAAATCGAATTCGTTGGATGTAAGATAGTTTTTTTTCTAAATATTATATAATTCATTTTTATATAAAGGTGTGTATTTTTACCGGATAATGGAGCTTTTTTTGTTAATTATATTATAACATCAACATTTATTGGAGCTGCTATTGAATTATTACGTTTAGCTGATCTAGTCTTTTATATTTATATAATTGCAACAGCTAAATCAACTGCTGAACGACGTGTTATTCGACATGTAAGAATTTATTTATTTATTCAAAAAAAAATAAAATTACATAAAATGAAAACATTTTTCAAAGATATCGATTTATATACACATATTGGCATGAAAATCATTCGATATCTGCGTTTAGTGTGATTGTTTTGTAAGAGAGATCAATAATACACTTCGACTAACATTCTAATGTATTTCGGGATGTAAATATTAACACACTGACATTAACATTCATCACAGTACTGATAAACTAATACTGATATTCACTGAAACATCAACTTACTCACACTATAGATTCTTAAGTCTTATCCTTAATTACTACAGAATTTCTAATTACAAGAATATAGATCACTCGAATTCATTCACACTCTCATCGGCAGCTATATCGAGTTTCTATATCAATGAAATATTTTTAGGCTCTACAATTTCCATTTCGTTTTGGTGTACAATATGCTTGGACAGCAGCTGTATTTTGTGTTATTCTTGCTTATTCCGTAGCTTGTCCATTGATAACACCAATTGGTTTATTCTATATGCTAATAAAACGTGCTGTTGATAAATATAATTTAGTATTTGTTTATGATACTGAAATAGCTGATAAAAGTGTTCATCGTTTGGCAGGAAATTTTATAATAATTGCCTTAATTATTCAACAATTAACATTACTATTCTTTATTATTGTTCGTTCTGGTTTGTTTATTTTCAAATATAATATTTTTCTTTTTTAATCAGTAATTCCATTTTCTTCTTTTAGAATCTTTAACTTATCTATCAATGACATTATTAGGAAGTTTTATTTTAACAAGTAATTTTTTCTTATATATGTTCAAAATTAAAAATAACTTGATTTAGGTGGAATTTATTTTGGTTTTTCATGTTTTGATTGTTGTGGTAAATGGAGTTCAAGAAAATATTCATTAACAAATGCAATATTACCTGAGGTCAGCACCTATTTTCTACCGTTTACTTTAAAATACAATTTATTAAGTGAAAGATCGAGTCGTGTAAGAATATCAAATATATATGATTCAATGAAAACTTATGCTCCTATTTTGCAAATTCTTTTCTTGCTTTTTTATTCAAGCAATAGTTTAATTTGAAATAAAAATGATTTGAATATATTTTAGGCACCAAGTACTCGTCAAAAATTAGATGATATTGGTGAATTAGAAGAAGCAGAAGGTCGTGAAGCACAACAACGAGCAACATCTGTAAGAATTTTGTTTTTTCTAAAATTTAGCTAAAAAATGAATCTTTTATTTTAGAATTATATTCCAACTATATTAAATGCATGTATCGAAGAATTTAGTAATTCACCAAGTGCAACAAAAGTTCATCGTAGTTCAACACGTGAACCTATACAACAAGGAAATTATGGTGCAGTTGATCAAGTGAACCAACCAATTGTTGCTGGAACTGGTGATGAGAATGATTTACTCACAGATTAAACGAATGAATTGAATGGAGTCAAAAAATATCGATATTTATTCTCGCTTAAACATTGTTTGTTTGTTTCTTAATATGATATTTAATCTTACATATATATATATATATTAAACGATAAATGTTGTCTTATTAAAAGTATTCTATTGGACAGTTTAAAATGATGATATTTGGTTAAATTAGTTTGATTTTTTCGTTTATTATTTTATTTTCATCTGTTGTCAATGAATTTTCTTTTCGTTGTGAATTTTGTTGTTGTAGATTTCGAAATATTAAGATTTTAATCGAAAATATTTGTTGTTTCAGATTTGATTTTCTTTCGTCTTTTTTTTTTACAAAGTAAGTTTTAATATCAATATATCAGAAATATGGTTACCAATGGCGTACTTAAACAACGACGACGTAAGTTTATAAATTATTAAATAATCATGATTATTTTTATTTAAAAAAAATGTATTTGTATTCTATAGAAAACATATTAGCACAAATCGTTATTGCAAAAAATACAAATATTGAATTAATTAAAAAATATGAAGAAAAAAAATTAGAAGAACATAGGTATTTTATTTATAAATAAAAAATAAATGACTATATTTTTTTATTATATCGAAATAGATGTGAACAAAAAATAATTGATAAATGTGCTGAAATGTCGAATAATCTTCAACAACGTATGGATGAATTAATTGAAAGTGGTTCTGTTGCAGCTGTATGATTTTCTTTTTTCTATATATTTAACATATTTGTTTTCATTTCTATCTAGACATCGAAAAAAACGGAAAAAATGCTCGAAAAAGCTCATCAATGGAGTCAGGAAATGACTGATAGATTAGCATCTATTTTATGTTTACAAGAATCTCCTGAACAATCACGCACAAGTTTAACAATGCCAGCTGCAACTAACAATAATAATAATAATACACTTCTTGACACAACAATTGCCCGTCGTCAAGCAGCAGCTGCACAAATACAACTAGCTGGACTTTCAGCTTCATTTTATGTTCAACAAGGTCGAAAATCACTTTCGGTATCAATTCAAAAAAGTCCACGGACACGTAATTTGTAAGTTAATCATATTTTGATAATGAAATTTTTACAAAAATTTTTTTCTTAGATATAAAAATAATCAGAATAATAATAATAATAAATCAATGATTGATGAAAATGATGAAAATAAACCAGTTGAAGATATATCTCAAATGCCGATTGATGATATCGATGATGAAGGAGAAACAACGATTGAACAAGAAACAAATCGAACGTAAATTAATTTTTTTTGTCTAACAAAAATAAAAAAAACGATATTATTCTTTAATATAAAATAGTCCAACACCACCACCTCCACCACTACCGGATTTTTATATTGTTGAAGATGGACTGAATTATACGAAAAAAGGCGAAAAAAAACATTTTACTGTTCAAAATCGATATGGACAATTTAAAATGGTATGAAGGTTTTTTTTTGAATAAAAAATACATAAATAGTTCTATTTTGTAGGTACGTATTAGTGGTGTTACTGAACCATTTCAATGTAAAGCGCGTGTTATGAATATGCCGTAAGTGATCAAATCAATTGAATTGTTAATATTAAACTTTTGTATTTCTTTTCATTTAGTCCGCATTCTCAAATGCCTTTATCAATTGCATTTTTACCAACAATAAATCAACGTGGAATGGAATTTTCATGTAAAGTTACATTACGTACACGTTCCGATGATGGTCAAGATGATATTGTTCTCGAACGATCACTTACTGGTCGATGGTTATAAATATTTTTTTTTCTTCTATTATTATTGTTGTTATTATCTGTCAGATATTTTTTTTCTCTCGTTATCGTTCTTATTCAATACTTATGTCAGATAGAATTTGTGCATCTTATTCATGTAGAAATATAAATTGAATTGTATTCTTGTTAATAGATGAAAAATAAATTTACAAAAAAAAATTATTTTAAATAATAATATTAGTGATAAATAGGCTGAAATTTTTGCATAACTCTTTATGCCACATATTTTTATAATCTCATCCACTTCTATGATATTAAATACATGACAATTCATATTGTTCTTATCATGAAGAGTATGTGAATGAGATTTTAGAAATACAATGAACTCTTTCAACTTCATATCCCACACATTCGTGCACATCTTTCAAGATTTTCAATAAAAGATTCAGTTAGAATCATTGAAATAATCATACACTAGAAAGAATTCACAATGGATTACAATAAATGGGGTTATAAAAGATAATCAATTTGTAAGAGAAATACACTTCGCAATGGAAAAATATTCTCCAGGGAATTAATAGTTTGATTATTTTTATTCAATTGCTTTCTAATGATAATCTATATTTAAAAAAAAAAGAGTTACTAATACAATAAAAAGTCAAAATCGAGTATTCAAGCATTCTTCCATGTCTAGAATTATTTTCTACAGATCAATTGTATTTAAAAAATGATCTTTTTCTCATTAACAAAACTATATCTGTTTTTTAATATTTATATACGTGAAAAACATTCCTGTTACAGATCTTTTAGAAACACTTACAAATGTAAATTAAAAACTATTCATGCAAAGAAGTCATATGCATAACTGATTATTTTTCACATCTGTATTTTATAGTCTATAGGATCCTAATAAATAAAAAAAAAGGAAAAAGTCGAGGCAAAAACAATAAGAAAATTTATTTCTATTTTAGTTCTAGAATATTAAATTCATTATTGATATGATTTCTATAAAAACAACTAATTTATTGATATATTCAGTGTGATCTATGCTATAACGATACAGAAAATAACCATATGGTGTAAATGATTAAACATTAACAAATTGGAAAGTTATTAATGTATTGAAATATTTATAACATGCTTTTTTTTCTAGTCGATTGATATAGTATATATTTAGATTTTTTGAACTATTGAAATAGAATAAAACTAATCAAAAATCATGATGAATATATGATTAATTGGCTGGAAAAAATGATTATAATTTAATTTATTTCTATAGTTCATAATCAATTTAAATGATAAATGTTCATAGGGACTAATTATTGCTAATGACCCATCTAATTTTTGGTTTCCGGTTGGGAGAAATGTACGCTACGCAGTTTCATGTCATATTATATTAGTTTAATGAAAAGAGCACGATAGGAAAGAAAAACAGCAAATAATAGACAAAAAAAAAAGAACGAGAGAATAGAACTAGAAACAACAACATAGAAGAAGGTAGGCTATTCATCAGTTTAATATTTTACATCGTTATTTTTATGTACAATTAGTCAATAGAAAACCATGTTGGAGATTTATCATAGATTGTCGATGACAATTAGTATATTATTAATTGGTCTAGTAAGATGAGAATCTTACGAGATATCTTATACAAATAGTTTGTGAGTAATTTATTTTCAGTCGAATAGATTTATTGTTTTTTTATATATGCATTTGATTCTCTAATTAATAAATAATATGAGATACATCAAAGGATTCTTATAGAAACGCAATGACATGAGTTATAGTAGGTAAGGTTTTGTGTTCTTAGATGACTTATTTCTAAGAAAAACAAAAAAATAGTATTCAAGCTAGTATGTGAAGATTTCATGGAGAAAGATTTTTTGATTATGAGAAAAGAAAAGTAAAGAATATAAGCTGATATAAAATAATACTATTTAGAATTGATTTAATTTCAATGAAAGAAAAAGAAATTTAATCGATATTGAAAAACAAAATAACTAAATGAATATACTATTGAATAAGTAATCTTTAGGATAATATAAAGTTTCTAGACGAAGTACTTTAGGGTTTTAATTATTAGAATAAAAGTGTAGAGTCACTAGAGTGTTGTGTCAAGTCAAATATTCATCAATTTCTTTTTCCCATATGTATTACAATCATACTAGGTTTTATATATATATTTTATTTCTCATTTATCTCACAAATAAGTTTCGAGAGACAATTTAATCTTCTACCTTTCATGTCTATTCTAGATACTAACATATATCAATGTATGTCAGTACTTTATTTTCTTGTTTTCATTTATGAATACAATGAAATCTTTTTTTAGAAACTAATCTCCTATCGATGCTTCTATATATCAACAAAAATCTACTTCAAAGGATCTTAATTTTCTATTTTTTTCTATACAAAAAATACATCTGGTTTCCTTTTTATTATAATATATTCTATTTTATTTAATGACTTTTTACTAGTTAGATACGTTTCTACTTGAAAAGAGTCGTTATTTACAAATATATCATATGTATAGCATGCATAATCATCTATATATACCAGCTGCTATCAAAAAAGCAATAGCAAAGTGCAAGATGCTATATGATCATTTTTTTAGTCTTTCTCTATTTTTTTCTTCTCTATCTCTTATTTACTACATATTTCAGATTAAAGCCTATATATATATATATAGATATATATTCTGTTCATTTATTGTTACTGCGCATATTTCATTAAGAAGAAAATAAAATGCATTCACGTGTTATCATCCTTGCATGCTCTGTTGCTGTTTTATTACTTATGGTTTCATCATCAGCCATTGCTGCCGATGATCAACATTATCCACGAGTTGGAAAAATGCCTGGTGGTGCATGGCTTTCAGCCCATCAATTACAACAATTGAACAAACGTGGTCGATTTGTTTTTCGTGATGCACCTAATGTACATCATTTTGATGCCGCCGATGTTGATGCTCTTATCAATGAAGATGTTCATGATGCTGAATCAAATCTTAACAAACGAAATTGGCGATTATAAATCAAAAACAATTACAATTCAAAGCAAATTCTATATATTAAAACTCATGAAATATTTAGCTTGAAAAATCAATGCATTTTTGTTGTGGAAATAAATATTGTGTGCGCCTATAAAAGAATTTTAATAAATGAAAAAGCATCATTCTTTAACCATATTATATTGAAGTAATCTTTAATTTCTTTCTATGTATCGTCTTGTAAAAATATTCAATAGATTACCTCATTGTAAATCAAACTCATAGAACCACCCATAGTCATTTCATGTTGTGTAGAAATCTTTTTTTTAACTATTATTAAAGTTTAGTTGATTTAGAATTCATAAAATATTTGAAAAAAGAAAAGTACTATATTTTTGATTGAAAACAAGATGAAACAGAAAATAAGTAGAGATATATTCATAATTATTGTTTTGTCGCTTATTAACTAATGTTGTTTGGTCTTCATGTCATATAATTATCTCTAGTGAATACATTTGTTTCTCGAGGGTTCGTAAATCAATCCACAAAAGACTATTCATTTTCCTATGTGTGTTGTGTTCTATTACAATTTTTAGCTTGTAATCGACATGTTTCTTTCGGCTCAGAAGGTTCTCATTCCATTTTCTAGATCATATTATTTTCTATTCATTTTTCACAATAGCTACTTATTTTATATGAACATCATGGTGTTTTATAGCACCTTGAATAGAATTCTTGAAAAGAAACCCATTGACATTCTGTTAAAAGCTACTCATTTGATTGATCTATTGAAGATAATTTTTACAGTACTTACGTAATCTATTGTTAACTTATTCATGAAGATGTTGCATGTTGTCATTACTTTTTATTGATTTATTAGTAAAAATCATATGTTATTTAGGAGCTCATCTTTCTTCATTTCAATACCAAAATTTATTAAGTTAAAATATAAATAAAGATGAATCTTTCTCAAAACAAAGAAATTGATTAATGCCGCGATGGTGACCTCTTACTAGGAATAAAGATTAACATAGAGAAAGAATTGTAAAAAATTAAAGGTTATACTTTATATTTATCATAAGTTTATAGCACAGAAAAGTTTTAACACTATGATTTTCTGTACCATTGAATTTTGAGTATCTAATGGAATTCTTATTATAGATAATAATAATAATTATAGAGTCTATCAAAGATTTGAAGCTTTTATTTTTAATGCAAACATTGAGACATTCCTTATTTAACATCAAGCAATTAAGAAAAAATAGATTTCATGTGTATATCAAATTTTGATAAGTAGGAATGAACATTATCTATTTATTCATATCATTATTTACACTGAAGATCTTTAGACTAGATGCAGATTTCAAGTTGAATTTTTGATACTTTTTCGAAGATTTTGTTCGTATCTGAATCTAATAATCAATCTGGAGATATAAATGCCTTTTCTTTTTCGTTTACTTGCATCGATGATGACTAGCATATCCGATATATCTATGAGATAGTTAGATCTCGTACGTGTCAAATTTTAGTACCTGAACCAAATTCAAGCTTAGTAATAAAAACTTCTGAAATACGAGTCAGTAAAATACAATCTGATAACTCGAAATCGAACTTATCTTCATTCTAAAAAAAGTATGTGTGATGCTTATGTTTTCATGATTTTAAACAGTACGTTTTATACTATATTTTTTATATGACTTGTAGGAATAATTCCTCACTGAATTTTACGTACTCTGTATGAATATTAATAGACATAATATTGCGGCTGATTGATGGTATATGTGTAATTTGAAGAGAAGTCTTTTATTTTAACTTTAGTAATGACGCATTATATATATATCTTGTAGTCTCATGTGACACATTGACATTTCATTTTTTTATAAACCATACGTATCCTGTTGCTGATATTTTTAGTAGTCATTGAGTAGGATGAATAAATAAAATGATAAAAAGTTCACCTCAATCTGCTTTAATTTGACAGAATTAATACGGCAAACAATATAGCAGGTTTCGTGTGACAATTAAATTTTTGAATTTTATTTTGTATCCTTTTATTAACTAGAACAATTAAAACTTTCTCATCGTCTCTGACGTATTTCAATCTCGTGTGACACAAAACCGAAGATTAAGGATACACCTAATGTTCAGAAAAAAACTGAAATAAGAACCGTCCTTAAACAACCAATCAGTCTCATATTGGAGATGTCTATGTAATTTTCTATAAATATCGCCAACATTGAAAATTCAAATGACTAGAAACTAATCGATTATACGACATTTTTATCCAGAAGATGATAGTAGAAATTAAATCTTGGATCTGATATGTTAGTTTTGATAAAACATCGTTGAAGATAATGTTGTGCAATTAACTTTTAATCACACATTGATATGATTAAATATTTGAATTTTATAGATAAATCGAAACAAAATAACAATTTGTAATGAAATGTAATAGTCCTACTAAAATTTGTCATACGGTTCTAATTCACCTTGACTTTTATATAATACGATATACAATATATTTTCACACGAACATAGAATGAATGACAATCCTTGATTAATGTATATTGACAATATAACTATAGCAAAAACATTTCTTTTCGATAGACAATGTTGTGATAGAGTAGTTTTAGTCGATACATATATATACATAGAGAGGGAGTATTGTAAATGATATTTTTTTTCTTCCATCGAGCGAACTAATCATAGTTGTATAATATATTATCAGGCATATAACAATTATTTTAGTTTGCTTCAATTATGAATTATTAAATTTTAATTAAAAATAACCAATAAATCTGCTTATATAAATTAAAAGACTTCATATTTTATTCTCAATAAAATACCTATGGTGTGAGTCATATGACTAGTGATTGATATTTTAATTATATTTGCTGATACTTACCAAGGTTTGTTATTGGTTATTTCGTAGAGCATATCTTGTTGTTTATGTTAAGAGCGTACGAAAACAATTTAAAAATTCTGTATTTTTTCTACAAAATATAATTTTTTGAAATTCTCTTTTTGATTTTTTATTTCATATATTCTTTGTATATTGTTTCTCTAATCAATGAATAATATAGACTTTTATTATTAAACATAAATAAAGACAAAAAAAAAACAAACGAGCAATAAATAAGAAAAAAAAAGCATGAAATGAAATATTTTTTACGCCAATGAAAACATCATTACTCTTAACGTTTAATGATCAGTAATACTCAGAAATTTTTTTTCTTTCTTTTTTTTTGATATCAATACAGAACCAAAAAAAAGGTGTATGATACCAAATTTGTTCTATTTATTGATATTATAACCAGTCATCGAAAATAACAATGCAATTAATTGCTTAACTTTTGAATATGTGTGATGTATCAATTCGAAGTACTAATCATGAATAAATTAGTTAATAAAAAATAAACTGAATGTCGTAGATATCAACTTAATAAATCTCAAACAGATAAAACTATATTTAAATTCTACAATCATGAACCGTGATCGTGACCCATTCATACTCGAAAAAACGCCGTTTTTTTGCGTTTAGTTTTAACCTTTTGACTGTAAAAAATTCCATAGGTAAATTTTAATACTTAAAAAGTGAAAATTAAACTCATAAAACCGGTACTCTTTGCTTGAACATGACTGGGTTACAATCATAATTCTCGATTTTAGGATTTACACGTATTTTTTCTAAATTTTATGTTTACTTAGATTTTATGAAATTACATTACCAGCTGATATTTTCTTTGAAAAAAATATACAATGTTTCTAATGACCTTTCATAAAATATTAAAATGAAAATGTTGCTTTTTTTTCTGTTAGTAAAAGAGAAGTTAAGTTAATAGAAACTACCTAAAGTTAGTTTAACTGAAGATTAAAAAAAAATTAAAAAAATTAAAAGTAATTTATCAAAAAGTATGGAAATGAATATTGTTTGTGAGTAATTTTGTTTTACATTAATTGATATTCTTGTCGAATATGACGTTCCCATGCTAAGCCAAGTGCTGCACTAGCTAAACAAAGTCCAATAAGAGTAAAATGCATACCAACAAGTGTAGAATATCGAGTTCGATAATGAGCAGCAAGAGGTTCAGCACAACCACGTAAATATATTTTATTTTGTCCAATCAAAGCATCTTTACCACAACCAGTAGTTTCAGTAAAACAACATGAATCAGGTGTACTACTATTGTCAGGAAATCGAACTTGCCAATCTAATGCTCGATCAGCACCACAACATTGATATCTTTGTTGAACTCGTCCCATAATTTGTTTTGAACTTCTAAGAAAATCCGAATCATTATAATCACTCATCATACTTTTAGTATTCTTCATAGATCTATCTCGAAGATGTGGTCGAGCAATAAGAAGAAAAATACAAACTATTAAAGAAAGAAGAGCAACAAAACATAATAAACCAGAAAATAGTGTTGTTAATGCCGGAAATCGTCGAAATGCAACATACATAAGACCACAAGCAAAAATTATACCCAATGAAGTAATAACAAGAGTAAAAATGGACATTGAAAAACAAATTCCAAAATAATGTTGAAGATAAGATGAATGATTAGTAAAGACTGATGCAGTGACCAATAAAATAATTGACATCACAAGCGTAAGGAAGCTTACTCCAATACATGCCCATGGAAGTCCTTTCGCATTCATTTTTTGTTAATATAACGATGATTTGCTATTTGTTTGTGTATGTAGATGCGTAGGCTTTTATCTATTGCGATGGGGAAACTAAATGAGACGAACAAAAATCGTATGCAATGTGTTTGTTTGTATCTACTGGCGTCAATCAAGCGTTAATTTTTTTTTCATCCTCCTTTTTACTTGCTTTCTTGTCTTTCGATAGTAACCGTGCGACCGTCTTTATTACAGTAATTATTCTTGTTGTCAATATACAATAAATCCGTTGATAATCCAATAGGCTTTCATACATACATACATGTGAATAATACATAAATATACAACGATAAAGCAAAAAAAAAGAAAATAACTGGAAATATTTCTTTGTTCTTCTATATATTTATCCTGATAATTGTTTATCCTATTAGGCAGATCTTTTTTTCTTCTCTTCTCTTTGCAATATATTCTATTGATTTACTATAGACAAACAGTTCGACTGGAAAATTAATCAACTATTCGATATATAAACTGTATTTGTTGATAAATAGTTATATCTGTTAAAAATCAGAAATATATAATAATATGTTGTTATTGTATGCATAGCGTAAGGCTATATAGTTCTTAATAATATCAATATGTATTTCGATAACTCGTTCGATATTAAAAAAGAATTGTTAGAGTTTATTGCAAGAAAATATATTTATTGCTTGAGTATATCTAATTATATATTCAAATGACAAAAAGAATAATAATAATTTTAAACACTTTTATTAAATATCCAGACCAATCTTTTCAAGAAAATTATCAAGTAATTTCATTTTTTCAGATGTTTCATCGATATCCGATTGATTAACTGTTGAAAATTCAGCTAAATAAAATCTTAAATCATCAATAATTGGTACTGAATCAGTTTCTTGTCGATTGACTACACTAGCTGCATCTTCAAGTACAAATTTTACAAAATCTTCTTGTTGTAATACCTAAAAGAAATGAATTTTGATTTTATGAAAATTAAATATATAAATAAACAAACATCTTCAAGATGATCACTAATAAATCGAATACATTGATCTTCAAGTTTAATTAATTCAAATAAACGTGAAATTCGAATTGTTGAAATAATTGTATCAACATTAAGTAATTTTGAATAAGTATTTCCACAAAGACGTTTTAAACCAGGTAATAAAAGTTCATCAGCAAGTATAAGTAACTCATCAACACAATCATTTGATATCTAGATTAACAGAAAAAAGAAATTTTATCGAAATTTAATTTAATATTTTTTTTTGTTATTTTACTTCACATTCATCTGAATAAATATAATATAAAAGTGGAAGAAAAAGTTCTTTTCGAATATGTTTTAATATCATTGTTGATTTCTCATTTGTTTGTTTATTTGAATTTGGTAACATTTCATTAAAATGATTTTTAACCATTGCAGAAAAATATTCCGTTCGCGTACACATAAATGCTTGATGAACATTGAAATGATAACATTCATCAATAATAAACTCAAGATCAGAAAATATGTCTAGATGAGGTTGATCAATAAATGGCATTTCACTACCAGCAATCTTTAAATTATAAATAGATTTGCAGATTATTCATATAGAAGAACTTAAGATGAATTTCAATAGAATCTCATTTAACTTAATACTCATTTAGTTAATATCTATCTAACTTATTTTTCCTACAGTATTAAAATTCTATAATAGATATGCTCATAAGAGTTTTTTTTCATTAAAATATTTACCCATTGACGAAGTTCTAATGGAATAGCTTGTTCAGCTAACATACGAAAATCTAATCGTACACTATCATCATCTTCATCAGGTTCAAGTACTAAACGATAAATATTTGATCTTGCTGTTTTACTTGCTTCTATAAAAACGATAAAAAAATTTTAAGTAAAAATTTAAAAAAAGTTTTTTTTTCGCATACGCCATTCATCTATTTCATGTTTTTTTCGTTCAATTAAATCGATTAAATGTGGTAAACGACAACTTTTAGCTAAAGCTTTAACACTGTCGATATATTCTAATGCTATTTCACAGCAATTTGTATATAAATATCGAATAATAGCTTCAAAACTTTCTGCATTGAACTAAAATAAATAATTTGTTTTTGTTTTATCATTTAAATAATTAATAAAAATCAAACTACTTTAGCTTTTGTTAAATTAACATATCGTTTATTATGCCATCGACTTTCTAATGCTTCACGAAAAAATGATGATCGTGCAGCTAACACACATCGATGTAAAGGGAATGTCCGTTCATCAACAACGAATGTTACATCACTATATAAACCTTGTTCAAAAAGTCTAAATATATATTAAATATTATTGAGAATTTCTTTCGTTTTCTTTTTTGTTTACTTTCGTAAAAACTCATCATAAGTATTTCGTCTAGTTGTTCGTGCTGTTAGAACATTATAATTTTTTAATAATGTTCGAATTGTATCAGTTAAAGCACCATATCGACAACGTTCACCATCAAATGTATTTGCTTGACATCGAGCACCTAAATAAATACGAAAATAATATGCGTATATGTATATGTATGAAACAATAAATTCAATTACATCACCATTGGAAAATTGCCCTCACCATTATCGAGCAGATATTGAGCTATTTCCAAATGACCACATAAACAAGCATAATATCTAATTATTTTTATATAGTTTAGATTTTTTTAGAAAAATATCTTAGGAATTGTAACTTACAATGGTGTTGAATCCCATTGATCACGAATATTTAATTCAACTTCTTTATGTTCGATTAGATAACTAAATATGATTTGAGAAAAAATTAATATTTACATTTAGATATACATTAAAACGAATTTCATACCGAACTCGAACTAAATCACCGCGTCGTACACTTTGAATAAGATCGAACTTATCTGATGCCATAATTTAATATAATAACTAGCGATAAATACAGATATTTAATGACTCATTCAATAGATAATCATGTGATTCATTTATTTCGTTAATATTAATTATCATTCGTTTATCAAAGTATATGTTAAGATTCAAGTGTTAAATTTGATTTAATATTATTTTAATTTCAAAAATATCAATTATATTTAAATGAAGAAGGAAGTCTTTTCAATATATCTATCTTGATTGGTTATCACAAGTGACAATACTTACTAAATACAGATGACGTTATAATATACTGGAAGGAAAAAAACGTTTTTTGTATTGCAAATATGCTACAAAATAATACTCATGCGATCGATGAGTATACTCATTCATTTTTTTTGTACATTTGTAGTATGTAAAATAAATCTTTGGGTATTCAATCTGATTTTAATTTTGAAAAATTAAAATTCATCGAAATCCTATGAGTAACTTTCAATCACACGAGCATATAGAAAATATTTTAATAGATTTCATTTTTAAATGATACAATAACCATCTTTCTTCAAATAAAACTCAAATTTAGAAGAAACATTCCGTACATTCTTTATTTGGGAAGTCAATAGAATTCTCTTACCACTCTATTTTAGTGAATATCAGTTAATATAATATGATTTAGACATAAGAATATTTTTAAGTATGTGTGAAATAGTAACAAACTATATGATATCTTTCTACGAATTAATATTCAGAATATTTATTATTATCTTTTGATATTATCGTAATAGAATATATAAACATATCAACCATTGATTTCTTATTTTTTTATATTAATAAATAGATAGACATCTGTTTAAACTCTCACTTATCAATTCTCACACACATATATATACAAAATCTTGAATACAAATATGAAAGCTAATGTTTTGTCGTAAAACTAAATATATACATTTATTTTTTTATTCTGATAAGAATAAATCGAAAAAAATAAACAATATTATATTCAATAAATACTCTTTACTACTAGTGATATATATATTTTTTAATGAGTCATTTATTCATTGGTTATATTCATAAAACCATTCAATTGGTTGTTTATTTTTTGTTTCTCACGACAGTTATTCATTTTTTTTTTTGCAATTTTATTTGTCTATCGATCGTACGTAGGCTTTCACGCATGTTTTTTTTAGTTCCTTATATTTCGTAAAAGAAACATAACTGACATACTTGAATAATGTGACCCTTTTTTTGTTACAAAAAAGTCATATTATATATACTGATTGTTTACTCGTTCAATGATCAATAAATAACTTGTTTATATTTTTAGCTTTTTTTTTATATTCATCTAAATATGTTCTGTTCATTTAATGAAACAACAAGTGGAGGTGGAATGGTAGTTTGGACTGATAAAGGTTTTACATTATGTTTTTTTGATACATTTACAACATCAATTCTATTCGGTTTTATATTGATTTTTGGTTTAATTCAATTTATTTTTTATAAGTATGTTTTATTTCTTCATATTTATCTATAAGCTTAATCATTTTTCTTTCAATTTAGACGATACGGATTTAAAATCGAAAAAGAATATATTGATGCATCAGTTTTATACTCTCTCCAAGTTATTTTAACAGTTTTATTAGCATGTGAACCAATATTATTATATGCAACTGAAACAACAGCATTTGGAAAAACTAAGGTAAAAGAAAAGAAGGATAAAAATATATATTTCTAATAAAAAAATTCTTTTAAATAGCTGCCTGGTTATACAATATTTCGTTTTATTCTTCGTACGATTGCTTGGTTATTTTCATTAATAATTCTTCGTATTGAACGAACTAAAACAATGCCAACTGCTCAAACACGTGGTCATGGTTTAACAATATTATCATTTTGGTGTATAGCTGTTTTGATTGAATTATTTGCCTTAATATCTTATAGTTCACCATTATGGTTTTTTCAACCAATTATTCGACATGATTCACCTATTGAAGAAATTCATTTAGTTCGATTTGGTTATTGGATATTTCGATTACTTGCAACAATATCTGTATTTTGTATTGGTATTCGTGCACCAGGTGTACCACGAAGACGTTATGCTGTTATGTTAAATCGTAGTCAATCACAAGTTGAAGAAGATATAAGCAAAGAAAGTGTATGGTCGAAATTCTTTCGACATTCATCAATATTAGCACCATGTATTTGGCCACGTGGACATTTTAAATTACAATTAAATATTTTCATATGCGTTTTAATAGTATTAACTGGTCGATTACTTTCATTAGAAATACCAAGATATACGAAATTAATTAGTAAGTTTAAATAAAGAAGATGGAAATAAAACAGTTTTTTTTCTTCTAGCTGATGAATTAATTCAATCAAGTAATGGTACAACAGATACATTTTTAAATTTGGGAGCTCGATTACGTTCACCGGAGACGTGGCCATGGAGACTAGTCATTATATTGATGGTTCTTCGATTGATACAGGGTAAATAAAAGCAAAAAATTATTTTTTTATATACAATTCTATTTGTTTTATTAGGTGCTGGATCATTTAATTCAGGCATATTAGAACTCTTGCGTTCAACATTATGGACAAAAGTTGATCAATATACAACACGTACATTAAAACTTCGAGTATTTACACATTTACATGATCTATCATTAGCTTGGCATTTAAAAAAAAAGACTGGTGAAATTATATCTATTGTTGATCGTGGTACAGATTCGCTTGATTCAATACTTAATTATATCTTATTCAATATATTTCCAACAATAGCAGATATATCAATAGCTGTTGTTTATTTAATAATTACATTTAATATTTGGTAATTGATTAAATTCCATTTTTTTACATAAAAAATGATTTTTTTGTTTTTTTTCTCATTAAAGGTTTGGTATAATCGTATTTGGAACAATGTTACTTTATCTCTCTGTAACAATTTTTGTAACAGAATGGCGTACGAAATTTAAGAAACAAGTCAATAAATTAAATAATGAGATGAAAGCAAGTGTTGTTGATTCATTAATTAATTTTGAAACGGTTAAATATTATGGTGCAGAACAATATGAAGTTGAACAATATCGTGAAACTATTGAAAAATATCAAAAAGGTAACAACTGATTTTTATTAACTTCATCACATATATATCATAATAAATAATCAAGCATTAAACTGAGAATATTTCATAGTAGCCTAAGCACTGTTATTCAAACTCTTGTATATTGTTGAGAAAGTATTTTCTTTTCCTTAAAATATGTCCATTGAATAATATAATTATCTTCTGTTTTTTTATTAATTTAGCCGAATGGACAAATCAATTAAGTTTACAATTATTAAATTTTATTCAAGCAATTTTAATTACTATTGGTTTAACAGTTGGTTCACTTTATTGTGCTTGGCTTGTTAGTGTAAAACATGAATTAACTGTTGGTGATTATGTTTTATTTGGTGCATACGTAATACAATTATATGGACCATTGAATTTTTTTGGTACCTATTATCGTCTTATACAACAAGCATTTGTTGATATGGAAAATATGCTTGATTTACTTGATATTAAACCTGATGTACAAGATTCACCATTTGCTAAAGATCTTGTTATTAATAATGGAATGATTGAATTTGATAATGTTTGCTTTCATTATCAAAATGAACGACAAATTCTTAAAAATGTTTCATTCAGTATTTTACCTGGACAAACTTTAGCAATTGTTGGACCATCGGGTGCAGGTAATTGATTTTTTTATTATTATTTTTATAATTGATATTGTTTTTTCTTCTCCTCAAGGAAAAAGTACAATTGTTCGTTTACTTTTTCGATTTTATGATGTTCAAAGTGGTTCAATTAAAATTGATGGAACTGATATTTCAGTTGTAACACAAAATTCACTTCGTCGTTCAATTGGTGTTGTACCACAAGATACAGTTTTATTTAATAAAAATATTTTATATAATATTCGTTATGGCAGAGTTACAGCAACTGATAGAGAAGTTGAAAATGCTGCACGTACTGCTGAAATGCACGGTAAAAAAAAGCAAAATAAAATAAAATAAATATTTAAATTTATTATTGATATTTAGATCGTATTAATACATTTCCTGAAGGATATAAAACAATTGTTGGTGAACGTGGTTTAAAATTATCTGGTGGTGAAAAAGTAAGATGAACATAATAATGAAAAATAGTTTGAATTTATTTTTATTTCTAAATTTAGCAACGTGTTGCTATTGCTCGAACACTTCTTAAAGCACCAGCTATTGTTTTATTAGATGAAGCAACTTCAGCACTTGGTAAAATTTTTATTTATTAAAAAATGTTCTTGTTTTTTTATTTAATATTTCTTTGATTATAGATACACATACAGAACGTCAAATTCAATCAGCATTACAAACTGTATGTGATGGACGTACAACATTAATTGTTGCACATCGTTTATCAACAATTTCACATGCTGATGTTATTATTGTTCTTAAAGACGGTGAAGTTGTTGAACGTGGTTCACATGATGAACTTTTAACTAAAACTGATGGAGTTTATGCAAGTATGTGGAAACAACAATCAACATCTTATACAAATGCAGATAAACCAACAACTATTAGTGATGATAGTGCAGATGGACAAGTATTTGCTCCAACAAATCAATCTCATCATCATCATCATTAATAGAAAATATCTTTTGTAAAAGTTTAAATTCCGGTGAATTGCTAATCTTGCCATGCGTTTATATATTTGCTTTAAATTTATTTGTCTATTTTGCATGTTTTTTCTTTTTGTTATTTGTCAACGATTGTTTCAATCTCATTGAGAAGAAGAAGAAAAAAGACTATCGAAAAATATTTCCATAAATATTTGTATCTTATATGTAAAAAAAACCTCGATTCGTAGATATTGTCTCGTTATATTTTAAATATTCCTTTCTTTTTTGATTCTAATTATAATAATAATAATAACAGCAACAAGAATCAAAATATGATTTTAAAAAATTTTCGAGATGTTTTTTTCCTTGTCTAAAAGAAAGAACCCATCATTTTTTTTATTTGTTATTGAATTAATTTAAACTTTTTGTTTTTTGTCTTTGTAAAATCTCATTGTCATTCTATACAAAAAAAAATATATATATTCATAAAATTAAAATCAGTGTTATGTGCGTATGATGAAGATAAGTTTTCAGGGATAAATTCAATAGAATATTATGCAATAGTAATAGCGAGAAAAAAATGTTAGAAGATTTATATTGAATTTGTTAAAATAGATATAGAAGAATGATTTTTGTAGTAAGACATAAATACAAATATTTTTAACTTTGAAAATGACATCGACATAATTTCAGGATTTGTCTTGATATATAATATATATATATTGATTTATTTTTTTTCTAAATTTCAGTAGAATCGAACTTATAAATATGGTACGAGTTTTTCTGATTAATTGTGACGAATAAAAATGACAAATGGCACGTTTCTCTTTTCTTTCATGAAAGTAATTATTGATTAAAACTATCAGAATCATTTACCTACAATTATATCAATTGAAATTGGTAAGTTATATGAATTACAGTTTAAATAAACTAATGATCACAAAATTAGGATTAAGAAATAATTCGTATAATGTAGCATTAATAATTCATTTAGTAAAATAAACGATGTTCTAAACTTTCCGATTTAATATATTTATCAGGAAACTTTTTCTACAAATATTAGTAATGAAAAATACACGATTTACTCAGAGTAGAAAAGAGATTCATTATTAAACTTTTCAAATACATTTTCACGAAAATTTATGATGAAAAATAAAGTTTTAAGCTAATTTAAAAATTTATTTTTTTTTACGATCTAATTATACAAATGCGAACTATAGTTACATTAAAATTTATTTTCATGAACATTTGAGATGAGAAATAAACCTTTGAGACAAAAAATATTTTTTTTATCTACTTAATTACAAACTATAGTTAGCTTTAAATATACTTTCGCGAACCTTCGAAATAAAAGAAAACTTTGACATAGAAAATCCCAGACAAAATTTGCTATTGTGATCGTTAGATTTATCTAACTTAATCATATAATTTACTAGAAACAAAAAAATTCATATTTTAACTCGTAAAAAAAAATTAAGAATAAATTTCTAAACAAATGTTTACAACGTCAATAAATCATACGGCACTAAGTCGTGTAATCCGATTATGGATTATTCAGTTTTCACTCAAAACATTTAGAATATGTTGCATGACAGTGATATCTTTTAGAATTAATAGTATTTTAAATATACAAGACATATAGAATAGAGCAACCAATCAGTTTATTAGTTTTCTTCGTTCTTTGACTTCGACTTCGTTCAATTACCATAATCCATATGACGATGATGTGGTGTAATGACTGTCGCATAAGGGTTTTTTCCAACTCTTGTATCATCAAATATACGAAAACGTTATCTCTTTATTTTTTTCTTTGCCATTTGATGTTACTGTTTCATATCATACCTTTTGGATACTTCCAAGGTATTGAATTAACTTAATTTTTTTGAATATATTCGTGTTTACTTTCTTTTTATATATAGATACCTGAATAGTAATAGTTTATTATAATTAATTGTATATGGGTGAACACAACAGCGGTATTTCCTTATCTTTAGAAGAACAAATTGTATACCTTTTCCAAGGGATAAAACTAAAAATGAATGAACTCAGCATCTTTAATTTATCATCTTCAATAGGAAAGATTATATTCATCGCAATCGTACTTTTAATTATTTTGTCCTCTTATCTCAGTAATCAACCTCCATCGTCATGTGATATGACAATAGCAACAAATCGAAATTTCCACAATTACTATGGTATAATTGGTATGACGAATCATTTCACAGCTGATCCAGCCCAGGAATGTCAAGCAAGTATCATCTATCAACCAACGTTACCTCAAATGATATTAAAACCCGATCATTCAGCAAGTTCATTTATGACATTAGCCGAATATGGAACTGGTAAAACTTTACTCAGATGTGAATATCTTAGATCTTTATCTTCAAATGAGTATCTCAAACTCACCATATTAGACAAACTAGTTACTCAATATCTCGATCGATTTATTCAAAAAATGATTGAGGGTAAAAAGGATTGTCAAAAAGAAAACTGTCTAGTCGACTGGTCAGAAAATGAATTTGCACAATTACTTTTATCCACTTTGGTCACAAACTTTATTGATTCATATGATACTCACAAACACAACGGTCCTGATTTATCGTTAGATGAAAAAATTAATCTCATCACTATCATTTGTTATTATTACAACGGCTTAGGTACCAGTCAACTAGAGAAATTTGTTAACTGGTTTCTCAATAAAGACCTATGGTCACACTATAAAGCTGATGGAGAACATGTTCAGCCATACAAGCATCATAATCAACAATTGTTGAATCATTTGATAGTTGATCTGAACAAATTCTCTATTCTAAACAAAAATTCTGAACGATTAGGTTTATTACTGATTATTCTGGAAGGTGAAGGGTTTCAAAATAGAGCTATTGCCAAACATCTATATGGTGAACATTTTAAAGATCTTGTTGAATTTTCATCGTTCATCAAAACTTATTTCAAAAAGACACCAGTATTTGTTATTGATGGCATTGATCAAAATGTCCATTTTGTAGGAAATGAAAACAGAGATTCGTTCGAATCTTTCTGTCGTTCCTCCGTTTCACCATCAATTCTTTCCATGGTTATGGCTAATCATTTTTATCTTTCATTATTCTATCCAAAAATCGATGGTGTTAATATCAAAGATGTCATTACTCGAAAAGATAAATTTCCTATACATACAATTAGTTGGAATACTAAATCTCTGATAAATTATGCTGATTATGTTCTTCAAGAAATGAATAAGAATGCGAAGAAAACACGATGTAAAGTATTTCCGGATTTCAAAATATTGGTGAATTATTCTGATGAGAGAAATGCTGAAATTATTAACAAAATTCCAACACCAAGAGCTCTTCATCGCTTTATAGCGGAGCTGATCCCAGAAATGAACAACGATGCGAATAATGTAGTAGAACCATTTGAAGCAACTTTCGAAAACGTTGATAATGCTTATAAGAACTCGTTCGAATCATTTGAAACAAAAACTAACGAATGAACCATCTATATAAAAACTAATGACCATTTTTTTTTCTAAGTTTTTAGTTTCTTTTTTTTCTTGTACGCAGTAAGTGCGACTGATTGCATATGGAAAAATATCGGTCTTTCGGATAAAAGATTATAATTCCTTTTTAATTTTTTCAGATAAATTTCGTTACAAATCAACTGGCTGTGTACATCCTCTATCAATTGGTGAAATTTGCTTTTCAACATATTGTGAGTACATTTTTCTTGAATGTTGCTGAGCACGGAATGTTTACAACCGGTAAACAGTCCGATAGTTTTTTTGGTAATCTTGTCCTGGCCTGGCATGTTCTGAAAAAAAAGAGTTTTTCAGAACCTTTTTGTTGGTTTTGCTATGAGGTGGAATCCAGAAGCCATCAAAAAGGTTCTGTCCGAACAAGGATTCTATAAGAAACCAACGAAATCATTCTTGATTCCGTATCAAAAAAAGATTCTGCGGGAAACTAATGAAACCACTTTTGTTTTTTCGTCAAAAAATGGTTCTGTCCCGCACATACGATGTCTCATTCCTTAAAAGGTTATACTACTACATCTGTACGCCTATCGTTATAGCCTTGTAACAATGTTTTCAACACTATGCCTTTACAGCTATACCATTATACTATATCCGTAGAGCTATTCTCCTTAAGGTTATTATTAAAAAAAGTAGTTTCCACACGTACACTCCAAATTTAGAGCTCACTTACACATCCATATTTTACCTGATAATACTTGAAATTATAGAACTGTCGAAAAAAGTCAATATCTCAATATAAAAAGAGCTCTGTTCTAAAATCGGATGTAGTACCATTCTCAAAATAGAACAAAAGTATTCACTATCCAGAAGAGTGAGTGTAGTTGCTATACTCAACTAAGTTCCACACACACACCGTAGAGAAAAACACTTGCACTCTGGAGCGTGAGATGTACACTCTTAGCCCTGACCACTGGGTCCATCCATATGATGCAGAATCGGAGAGGGATATTTTTCTTGTTAATGTCTTCTTATGTGGACTTTATCATATGATATGTTCCGAGAAAAAGAAGAAGTCATTTTTTATTTTATTTATATCCCCTGTATTTAAACTGATTGTGATGACAGAATGCAAGAGAAACAGATTTAATTATTTTCTTCGTGTACATACAAAACGCAAAAAAATATCACGATTGAGAAGACTAGGAAAAAAGCAGACATAAGATATGATGACGATGTGGTCTAATGATTGTCGCATAAGGGGTTTTTTCCAACCCTTGTATCATCAAATATACGGAAACGTTATCTCTTTATTTTTTTTCTTTGCCATTTGATGTTACTATTCTATATCATACTTTTTGGATACTTCCGAGGTATTGAATTAACTTAATGTTTTTGAATATATCTGTATTTACTTTCTTTTCATATATAGATACCGGAATAGCAATATTTTATCATTCTTAATCGCATATCAATTAATTGTGCAGGCAAAATAGCAATGGCTGGTGGCAATTCTAGCAAAAATAATTCGAATCCTGTACGAAGACGCCCGAACTGTATCAATCGCATGAAAAAAATGGCGAATGATTTCGAGAAGGGTATTTCAGTTTTCTTAAGAAAAATAAATGAAGGTTGTATCACTCATATAAGCAAATGCATTACTGAACCCCAGAGGGCTATTTCAATACCTTCAACAGAAACCAACGGACACGGTTTCAATCAAAACAAAGAAAACATAAATGCAAACATAACCAATAACTCATTATCTACAACAAGGAAGATGGTATACATCGTACTCACATTCGTACTTGCAGCTCTTTTTTCGTATGCTTTCCCTGATCAAACTCCATCTTTAGGTGATATAAAGATACGTGAAAAGCAAAATTTCTCCACATACTATGGTATAGTTGATTCGGAAAATCATTTTACATCAGTAAGAGCTGATGAATGTGTTACACGTATTATCTATAAATCAGTGTTACCCCAAATGATTTTAAAGCCCGATCATTCAGCAAGTTCATTTATGACATTAGCCGAATTCGGAACTGGTAAAACTTTACTGAGATGTGAATATTTTAGATCTTTATCTTCAAATGATTACCTGAAACTCACCATATTAGACAAACAAGTCACTCGTTATCTCGATCGATTTGTTCAGGAAATGAATGATGAAACAAAAAACTGTCTAGTCGATTGGTCAGAAAATGAATTTGCACAACTGCTTTTATCGAGTTTGGTGACAAACTTTATTGATACATATGACACTCACAAACACAGCGGTCCTGATTTATCGTTAGATGAAAAAATTAATCTTATCAATATCATTTGTTATTATTACAACGGCTTAGGTACCAGTCAACTAGAGAAATTTGTCAATTGGTTTCTTAATAAAGGCCTATGGTCACACTACAAAGCTGATGGAGAACATGTTCAGCCATACAAGCATCATAATCAACAATTGTTGAATCATCTGAAAGCTGATCTAAATAAATTTGCTATTCTAAACAAAAATTCTGAACGATTGGGTTTATTACTGATTATTCTGGAAGGTGAAGGATTTCAAAATAGAGCTATTGTCAAACATCTATATGGTGAACATTTTCGAGATCTTGTTGAATTTTCGTCGTTCATCAAAACTTATTTCAAAAAGACACCGGTATTTGTTATTGATGGCATTGATCAAAATGTCCATTTTGTAGGAAA